AGACCTTAATTTTGTTTTGATAGAAGTCAATTTGATCATCCAATTCGCTAATTTTGATCACATAAGTTATGTGACAACCACTTAGCATAACCATAGAGTAGGCAACCAAGATCACAAACCGATGTTTTCTTGTTTTTATCATGACGAAATCATGTGAGGGTGCTTAAAGGACAATTTTAAATATTAACAAAACAAAAAATGCCATTTTTTACACTTTAGAACAAGACCAATTTTATAGGACATTTAGGACAGAATGCTTAATTTTAGGGCTTTTAGGACATTTGAGAGCCCTGCATACTATACTTTTTCTACGACAAATACTTAATATTATCTAAAAAGTTATTTAAATTAAATATTTGTACAAAGCGACATCTTTACGAAAATAAAGTAACCATCCCAATAAACATTTTTGACGTAATTTTCACCATTAACATTGCCCGTTATTATTTTAATTAAACTTAACAATTATTGATACTTTAAAATATTAAAATAACTTCAAAGTTAAGAAAATATTTTTTTCTTTGATTTTTTGTATTATCTACTATAATTGCAAAATATTATCACATAGTATTAAAAATTCTTACACGGGAAATGTAAGAGTACAAAAAGTGACAGTTGTATCTATTGGAATTCCCGTTAAAATTTCCAACTTGGGAATCTACCGGCGATAAAATCTCAAATTTGTCTGTGCAAATCAAAATTTATCCCTTGAAAATCAATCGATATAGAAGCTGTTTTTCGCAGTAAAAGAGAATGTTTTATGGGCACTGTACGCAAAATTTTAGCGCTTTATCAGTTAAATCTAGTTAACTGCACTCCTACCGCGAAATCAAAAGGTCAGTACAAACGTTTATATAATCTTTTCAAATATTGGCGTCAAGGAACTCTTTAATACCTTTGAATTTATGTATTGAGGTAAGAAGGGCACTTTATTTTAACGATTGTATGACATTTGACATCTGTCAACTTCATCCCGTGACTAAAAACCTGTTGCTTACTTCAGCCCGTGACTAAAGCGCCATAACTTGTCAATATGTATTTAAAAGGTCACATGTACGATAATGGTGCGCCTTATTCAGGACATCCTGTATAAAACCCTCATTATGTATAATAATTATAACTTTCAAATGATTAATTTTGCAATGTGGGTGGACATTTTATATAGGTATTTACCTAGAACATAATTATTCTAGAAATTACCACATATAATATAATTACAAATTCATAAATATGGAAAATGTGAAACAAAATAAAAAAACTTGCTAAGTTAAAATTAGCAATTTATATAGCAAAAAATATTTATTTTTCAAGTATACAAGGTGTCCCTAAACTTATTGGCATAAATTTAGAAAAAGATTGATCCAGACGAAAACCCAAATAAATATTTTTCCTAATTACTTAGGTTTCCAAGATACAGGGTGTTTTTTTAATATAACCTCTACTACACTGAAAAAAATGTATGTAATTTTATTGTAAAATTATCTGAGTTTTCAAGGTATTTTTGTCATGAAATGCATGTAAAAATAAAATTACAAGGAATTTCTGGCGTTTTTACAAAAACTTAACATTTTTACTATATGATTGTAAAAATATTTATTAGTTTTACTTTGTTTGTGTAAAATTACATTGCCTTTGTATTATTTTAATGCTTTTCCAATTTTACAAGTTTATTGTAAAAAAAAAAATAACCAATAAAATAAGACAAAATACTCACGTGACAGAAACATACAATATTTTTGTAATTTTACAAACTAATTGTATAAGTTTGACCAATCAAATCAGATAAATATATCACGTGACGCTCCCGACAACTTTGCATACATCGAATCAAGATGTCTTTTTTGGTTAGAACGTGGTCCTGGTTAGAGCGTGTGCCGTTTTGTTCCTTTTATCGTTTTGTGGTAAGTATGATTTACAAATGTAATATTTGTCAGTTAACATTTAAATCGATTATTCGATATGAAAATCATTTAAAATATCATAGATTTAATTATAAATCGCTTTTCAAATGCTTAAGAAAAGATTGTTTAAGGGAATTTTCAACTAAAAATAATATATTTACACATTAAACAAGAACATTGCAGTGTTGAATATTCTCAAAGCCTAAAATGTTTAGTAAGTAATTGTCACTTTTTTTCAAAAAATAAACAACAAATTATAAAACATGCATATAATCACATAAATTATGGAGTTGAGGTTAGATGTCCTTTTTATTTAATATGTAAATCTACCACAGCCTTTATAAAAGTTGCAAATTTGAAAATGCATGTGTTTCGCCGACATTCAATAAAACATAATGTTAACAATACAATCGAAGAATTATCCAATACTTATTTATCTAATGAAAACGTTGACTTTACATTTATATCGAAAAAAAGAGATGTTTTCAATGTGCAACTTTTTTGGAAGCTTTTCAGCTAATGTTTGGACTTTATTTTGTCCTAAATTTAAAGTACCCAATTGAAGCTTCCTGTGTTTTGGAATTTGTCCAAAGAAATTACCTAAAATTGCATCCTGACACAGGTGGAAAATCAAAAAACTTCAAAGAAAAAAATAATAAGTTTAATGAATAAATTAAGAAATTTTTAAATTAAGTTAAGTTAAAAAAATTTGTTTTACTTTTATCCAGTTTTTCTTTTGTTAAACTGTTTTTAAATCATTTTTTAATAAGTTGCTATTTTATTTAAATATTTTTTAGAAGTATTTTTTTTTAATATATTATTATTTATATTATTTTATTTAAATATTTTTTAGAAGTATGTTTTTTTTTAATATATTAATATAAATAATAATACAGAAGATAAATTATTTTTGTTTATAAGTTAACTCACCAATCAAAACTTTCTTGGCCTATAGGAAATAGAAACTAATAATAAATAATATTGTCTATTTTTCATAATACAGAAAATAAATTATAATTAAAAAATATATATAAAAAATTGAAATTTTTGTTTTATAAATGAATCCTTCTTATTAATTATAATTAATAAGAAGGATTCATTTATAAAACAAAAATTTCAATTTTTTATATATATATTTTTTAATTATAATTTATTTTCTGTATTATGAAAAATAGACAATATTATTTATTATTAGTTTCTATTTGTTATATACGTAATATAGGTAAATGTTTTGTTTAATTTTTTTTATTTTTTTTATATAATATATAATATTATTAGAATAATAAAATGTGATAATAATTTTTTATTTTTTTTTATTTCAATAACCAATACAACTAATTTAATAAAATTTAAAAGTTATTAGTAAGAGTTAGGGTTTTTTCGCCATGGTGTGATTAAAAAAAATAAAACAATAGGCTTAATTACTTTTATATAAAGTTATGTCATATTTTCTTTAAAATTTTGTTAATTTTGGTCTGCTCTTAATTTTTATTATTGTGGTAGATACATTTGGATAGATACATATATATATATATATAACATTTTTATTTTTGGGGTGGATATATATATCCACCCCAAAAATAAAAATGTTAAAAATTAAAAGCAGACCAAAATTTGCACAATTTTAAAGAAAATTTGTCATAAGTTTAAATTAAACAAGTACCTAATTAGCATATTGTTTTATTTTCAATTATACAATAGGCGAAAAAACCCCTTAATTCTATATTTGTAATTTTACAATTTGTGATTTACATCAAATGTGTAAATTTTCCCAAATTACAATTTTTTTGTAATATTACAATTTGTAATTTTACAACAAAATCGTAAAAAATATTCGTTACAACATTATTGTAATTTTACAATTTTGCATTTTACAACAATATTGTAATAATTTTAAATTACAAACTTAATGCAAATTTACAAGGAAAATAATGGGTAATTAATAACCCATTATTTTCTATGTAATTTTACAACAAATTTTTTTCAGTGTATGGTAGTCTTGGAATTTCCAAGTTGGAAAGGTGATATTTTGCGAACAGTCACTTAATATGTGTTTTGGTAGTAAGTGAATATTATTCACACAAAATTATAATTTTTTGAGTGAACACAGTGTCGTAGAAACGGGGGTTGCTTTAAGCTTATTGTCCCATACAAACTTTAAGGTTAGGTTTTTATAATATTTGATGCAATTTTTAGATTACACAGTTCGGCTACCATTAAAAAGGTGTACCTCTCAAACTTCAATAAAATAAACCGTTTTCGAGATATTCGAGATTACAATAATTGTTATATCGCATTATTTAAAAGGATTAAAAGGTATATGATAACAAATTTTATTTTTTAATTGAAAAAACTAAAAAGGGCATTCCATGAGCCTCGGGACTTTTTGACCGTCACATTAAAAAAATTGTAGTTTTTTCAATTAAAAAATTTGTTATCATATACCTTTTAATGCGATATAACAATTATTGTAATTTCGAATATTTCGGAAACGGTTTATTTTATCGAAGTTTGAGAGGTAGGTACAATTTTTTAATAGTAGCCGAACTAAGTAATCGAAAAATTGCATCAAATTGTATAAAAACCTAACCTCAAAGTTTGTATGGGACAATAAGCTTAAGCAACCCCTGTTTCTACGACACTGTGTTCACTCGAACAATTGTAATTATGTGTGAATATGTGCTTTGGTGGTAAGTGACTGTTCGCAAAATATCACCTTTCCAAGTCTACCACAGTAGAAGTTATATTAAAAAAACTGATATGATAAGTAACACTTTATCACCCTGTATCTTTTAAACATACGTAATTAGGAAAAATATTTATTTATATTTTCGTCTTATTTTGACTTGCTTAATCTGTTCCTAAATTTATGCCACTAAGTTTAGGGACACCTTGTAGAACAAGGGGTTCCATCTATCGCATTTAGCTCGAAAACAGTCTAGGTAACTGTAAAATTACAGGTCACTATAAAATAAATAAACAGAAATATCAAACTCTTGAACACTTGGCTGCAAACACTGAGCTCGGCTATAATATAAGCGCTGTTAGATTCTACTCAGAAATAATATACAGATTAATTTAATTAAGTTTTATTATTTTGCATGGTTTAATAATATTCTCCATCATGAAAATTAATTTGCTAATTAAAATAATTGTATACATTTTTATTATTATTTTTATATGTACAAAATTAACTTAAAAATAAACTCTAAATAAAAAGACGGTAACAGTATCTGGTGTGAACTAATAAGTACACTTTATAGTCTTCATTGCATTTATATCAAATTAATTAAAATCTACCTACTCTATAAACTAAATATGATATAACATATTTTAGTCTTAATTTGTTATTATCACGTCATCACATTTAATTACCTAATTATTTATTATTACCTAGTTTAATCCCCCCTGGTTGGTGGATTACTAAAAAATTTAAAAAAAATTTTAAATATAATAATATTAAATAAATATTTACTGACCTGTGTCTCACATGATATTCTTTATCGTCAACTAAATTTTCTGTCGAATCTGATGCTCCAGCACCATTTACTATTTCAGGAACGCTAAAAAATAAAACAAAATAATTAAAATGAGACTTTTGAATATTAAAAAACTTACTTTGTGTCTAGTAATCTTTGCCTTTGTTTCGGCGTCATGTTTAAAACTCCTTTGGTGACGATATCGTAGGTAAACAGAGCCATGGTAGCCAATAGAGCAACTAAAAAAAAATCAAAGTAACGAAAACTATTTCTTCAGATTTTTAAACCCTGAAAACTCACCCAACAAACAGCCAATGAAGAAAAACTCCAGCCTCTCGAAGTCATAATTATGTATGATAGCACCTGCTACAATTGACATCACAGCCAATCCCAAATTTTGAATTGCTTGGCATCTAGAATTTAATAATATAAAGTTCATTTTTGTTATCTGGACTGCGGTAACTTTGCAAATTTAGGGGTTTGGTTGGTAAATACGGAACCAAAATTGGTTTCATTGATTAAAACCAAACTATAGTTATAAATGTAATTGTGGTTATGTTTAAATTATTGTAGGTTACATTGAACGGTTGTCAAGTTGAGTCAAGTTGAGTTGTCAAAATTCGTAGTTAAAAATGCAATTAATTTGGCTTTGGTGGAGCGTAGATGAGTAAAATCCTATACAAAGTAGTTAAATGTAGGTGACTACGGCCCAGGAAAGACAAAGTATTCCAAGCGGATAATAATCTTCGCTTTAAAAAGAATTTATATAAAAAAAAAAATTTTTTATGGTAACACACGTGAATGTTGTCCAATCAATGGACTCCAATGGTGAATGGGTATTTTGTTAAAGCCACTGGACGTTAATACTTGTAGTGGCTTAATAATAATTATAATGTATATATTGTCCAGGACTATTAATGGTCAGTAACTTGCAAATTGAAAGAAGAAAAAGTTTCGTGATTATTGCTTATCTTTTTAAACCAAATAGATGCTATTTTCAAAGACAGGAAAATTAACTACTATAGAGTTAAGGCATTTGGCTTAACTTCATCAAAATGAAGTTTTGCCCTTAAAAGTTCTTTTACTTTATAATCTGATATTATTTTTGGCATAAGTATATTTTTATATCGATATTATATAATTAACAAGTAAATTGTCAATAATAAATATAAGTGTCAATTTGACAGTGTCAGAGTATTTAATTAAGGTCTTCAGCAGAAGTACCCTTTTTTAAATACTAAAAATAGTATATCAAACTGGCATAAGCTACCAACTTAATAAAAAAACATGAACTGTACATTAACACAATTTTAAAATCTTAAAGTGTTTAAAGAAGAAATCTTCATAAACTTTCTCAAAATATTTATTTCAAAGTCAAACTTCTTCAGTTCATTATTGTTTTTTGTTATTCTACAAATAATGTCAATACATGGAAGTTTTTATTTTATACTTCTTTGTGCATATAAGTTCCATGCTTTGTCACTGTATGACCGGCATGACGTCATACTATGACGTGGAATTAAGGTTAGATAACTGTCACTTTCAGTAGAATTAAGGTTAGGTACCTAGCATAGTATATACATGTTTTAGGAATAAAATTGATTTAGGCCTAAATGAATTTTATTCCGAAAACATATTAAAAATAAAAAACATATTTAACTCCATGCAACATTTTGTCATTTTGTTTTACACATTATATTAAAAAGAAATTACTTACACTCCATATGCAGTTCCCAGTTGATATTCGGGAATGATAAGTGAAACCAAAGGCCATAAACTACTGGCCAATGCTGAATAAGCAATTCCCATAAGGCACTAAAATTTAAAAAAATCCACCAAAATGTTTTATATTCAATATAATATATAATAAAAAATGCTGACAATGCTTTTTCTGTTTTAATTACATTCAATTTTATGACACTTACCATTCCATAATATGGATTAAAAGTACTCCATGCAATAAGAGAATGAGCTACTATTGTTGCACAAATAGCTGTTACTATAAAAATAATATTTCTTCCAGTTTTATCAATGCAAAAACCAAGTACTGGGGAAGCAAAACCAGAAATTAAATAAACTATACTAGCCACAGAATTGGCTTCATCCTTGGTTAAATGGAATTTTGACATGAAAAAGTCCCTAAAAACAGTTGTTTTTCAGATTTTTTTACACAAAAATGACTTGGGCCTTATTCATAGATTGCCTTCCTTCCTTTCTCCCGTAAAAGATAAACAATTTGTATTGTTCATCGTTTACGGGAGGAAGGAAGGAAGGCAATCTATAAATCAGGCTTTACTTACTGTACGAAAGAGATGAAGGGAAATATGGCAACGTAGTATGCGACGCAGATGACGCACACGAACCAAAATGCCGGTTTAAAGGTGAACACGTCGGTCAATCTGACAACCTCGCCGCCACGCGATGCGTCTCTGTTTAAGATTTTTTCTGCGCGTTTGTCGAATACCCCCACCACCAAAGAGCATACCATCGATAAAACGCATGTTGAAGTAGCTAAAAGAATTTTAGTAGTTGGTAGTTTAAGTGCTAAACACCTAGTATTAAAAAATAATCATTCAAAAAGTTTTGTCAAATTCATTGCATGATATACTTCATAGAAAAGCATATATGTATAGGGAATTTTATACAGAGAAAAAGGGAACGTCCGAAAGTTTTGCGAAAAAATTAAATTTTGAAACCCTCGAAATTCGTCAGAAAAAGATTGTTGTTTGTTCACCAATCACTGGGCGAGTACAAGGGTGGTCCTTGATCTTTCTCACTTAATGAACAATGTTGAGTTTACCAAATAAAAACCAATTGGAATTCGTTTTGGAATTGATTTTTTATTAAAAACTTATTGTTATATATATACAAATTTACAATATAAACAAAACAGTAGTTCTAAACATGTTTATAAAACAATATATAAAATTTAACAACAATAACCAAAAAACATATGCTTCTTTGTTGTGGAACTGCTGGTTGCCGCAATTGGTGCAATGCTGCATAAGGTGTTCTCTTTTAATCACCTGCTGCTATACGCAACTTTGCACATTCCTGCATTTTTTATAGTAACCTTTTTGAGTATGAGTATAAGCTTATACTTATAAGAACGTATGGCAGGCCCCATCGGCTACGCCTTAAACTGATCTTCCAGGGTTATTTTACCCCTTTTCGGTTCTATACGTATCCCGCCACTGCACAGCGTTACCTGTGTTTGGTGGATCCGATTTTTCACCCCGGCAAGTAATCTTCCCTAGGTCGTGGATGACAGTCGATGGTAAAGGCCATTCCCGGAATTTTGTCGCCGGGCCGACCATACGCCCGATTTAGGCTAGTGGTTTCTAGGACAAGGAGGGACAGCAGTTGGTTTTTGGTGGCCTTGAACTGACCCAAAACTAAGTACAATCCGGACTCCCCCTCAACCAGGGTATTAGTAATGACCTTATTCAATTGGGGTTCATGAATGAGGCATGGGTTATTAGTACAATACTTGGACATTCTTGCTGGTATGTATTTCCTCCGGGTCTGTCCGGTCTACTGGAATTCGCAATCTGCTGCACGTAGTTGTTTGTCCCACTGGGGTGTTATTTTTACTTTCCCCACACTCTTAGAAACACTCAAAATGACTCGTTATAAGTTTTGACTCATTGTTCCAGCGGAAAGGCAGTCTCTAATGGTTAGACAAATTTTACCGAATGCAACAGTCATAATTGGGTTTGGTTTAAAGTTTTTTAAAATAGTTTTTGTTTACTCAACTGAGCAGTCCATAATTATAATTATTTAATTTAACGATTAAATAGTAGAATAACTATTTATTGATTTATTGGTTACTTTTAGTCGTACTGCCTGTGCATTTGGTATCTTTGGTCTATTTAATGTAGGGGTTAGTTAACCCTGTTCGACTCTTATTATTTCTTGTTGATTTCTACGGATCTGTCACCTGGGAAGGTATAAACACACCCGTAGGCTCGGTGAATTCTTATTTACGCAAATAGCGAATTGCAAATATTAAAAAACTCATCTGAATATGGCTCCTTGTCCCCTTGTAATTAGTCTCTTCCAGGTTTATGCCGCGATGAACTACCTGTTCAGGTGGGTGGTTCTGTGACTTTGACAGTTCATTTCGCGTTTTTAAACTTTTAGATTAGATTTTTAATGCACTGACTATGTATTGGTACTTGTTTGTAGTTCAAAGCGAAGAAACTATCACGTCTCGACGGTAAGAGCGATGATAGTAACCTTTTTTAAACTCAAATTCTATTAAATAATTTTTTCTGTTTAATTTTTAATTAAACAATTGTCATTTTACACCCTCTAGCGGACATTTTAATCTATTACACTAAATTTTAAGAAAAAATTGCTTCATCACAGAGTTTTTATTTTATACAAAAAATTGTGATTGTTATTAATTTCATTACTTTTTAAGTATTCCACTTGTATAATACATTGTATTATAATTTGTAAGGTACTAAGAATTTATTTTAATCATTTAATTAAAATTTGATCGAAGATTAATAACAATTTTAACAATTTACAAAGTCCATTATTTTATTAATTTACCTAGATACAATTTTAACAATTTACAAAGTCCATTATTTTATTAATTTACCTAGATAGGTAGATGTTTATTTTTATGTTTAGTTCCTTTATTTAAGATAACACATAGAATAAAAGATTGTGCCAAGAAATCAAATATAGAGTTCATAAAAATTATAATTTTAATTATTAATTGCGCAATAATTAATACTGATATTAAATGTAAATAAACAAAGTTAAATAAGTTAATTATGTTTTAATACCACAATAACATTTGTATTAGTAACAAGAATAAATAGTTTTAAGATAGGTACATTCTTGTGTCAGTGTTACCTCCTTATTATTATAAAAATTAATTAATAATTTACTGATCAAAAGTAAGAAAAACTCACCTATAAACAAAACAATCCCCATTCCCTGGGGCCCAGTGTATTTTTCATTAACCCAGTTGTAAATGCCATCCATCACTTTAAAATTTACAGTGCTGCCAATTCTGGCAAAACTTAGTTGAAGCCCGAAAACCATGTTCAATTCTTTGCCTTTAAACCATTGCACTGCATAATTATTTTGACCCACGGCTAGAGATTCAGCCCCAATGCTAAAAGTTAATATGTTGTTATTTCTGTTGTTTTAATTATTATATTTACCTACCCAAAAATAAATCTACCAACAAGCATAAGCCAGAATATGTTCATGTATGTGGCTCCAGCAAAAATAATTTGCCCCAAAAATGTGAGCCCCATGAAAATATTTGTGCCCAATCTTATACCAAAAACTCTAAAACAATGCAAAGTTAAAAAACGTTTTGGTGTTTTTTTTGTTTGTATTTTTAACCTATCAATTAAATATCCACCAATAAAACACATAAAAACATTGGGCCAGGAGTACAAGGAATATAGAAGTCCATACTGAATATCATTTAGGTTGAGATCTTTCATCATATTTGTCTTTAAAGCTGCAGGATTGTCATAACAAAAATAGGAACCTAAAATATATATAAATATTCATTTAGGTTCCAAATTTACATTCCACAGCATATCATAGATTATTAGTACCTATATTTTACAAAGCTTTTTTCAATTAAAGATAATTTGTTTTGCTGTTGTCATTTAATATTGTAGATACCCCTTTTATTTTAATTTAAGTGTGTATTTAATCCTGAACTTGTTATCACAACTTTTAAGATAAATTCGCTACCAATGTCCCAAATTTTAAACAAAAAAGTGGGTCAAGTAGGTATTAGAAAAATACAATTTCAAAACAAATTGTTAGCAAAGACCACATGCATATATATTTATATAATGTAATATTTACGATATTCACTTACCAAATCCAAGAAAACACAAAAAAATTAAAACAATAAATCTGTGTGCCCCCCTAAGGGGGTGACAGAAAAAGTTACAACACCCCCTTGGAACTTCTTCATGGGTTTCTTCACTCTGTTCAGCCACATCCTGTATGTTCGGTCCACCCTCCATCTTCAACAGTCAAAACACAAATAATCACGATATAGGGGCAGATTAAACTACATTAATTTCATCAGATCTATTGTTATTTGATTTGTATCAAAACGCCCCACTAAAAATTTGTGACGTTCCTTTAATAATATCTAAAACACAATAAATTACAAACTTGGGGTCAATAGATAAACGACTTTGTAAAAATCCTATATGTTACTAAAAATGAATCATTATTAAACAATGAAAGTTAGTACTAAAGTACAAAATATGCTTACTATGGTAAATACACAGAACATAAGGGTAAATAATCACAGATGAATTCCTTCAAAACAGACAAGGACAAACGAATAATTTAGTACTCTTCTTTTGACATACCATCTACCATATTTGTAAAAAATTAGGTTTTTTTAGTCTAAATGCAACAATATTAAAATAAAGCGAACTTATGTATGCAATTAAGCGTAAAAAACTATCATGTTGTTTAGTTCTTATGTTCTGTGGTTTAGTTTTTATACGAATTAAAACTAATAATGCTGTGATGTTGCCAAATCGTTAAATATTAAATCTGTAAAATCTATAGATTTTAATTTTTTTTTCTAAAAATACACCAAAACTAATAAACTAATAGAATTTAATATTAGATCTAATAGAAAATACTGTAGATGTGGTTTAAAAACAATTTAATATTATAACTGAATGTTATATAAAGTACATCTGACAACAGTGTACTCACAAGTTGAGTCACAACGGTTGCGCACAAAACTACCAAAATTCCAAGCCTGTTTGTCGGTATTTTAGGTTATATTTGCAAACAAATACTGGTTATATTTGCAAACAAATACTAACATTTTTTTTTTACAATAAATAACTAATAAAACACTATGAGTTCAGCTAGTAAGGTAATATTTAGTTGGTAGTTAATAAATATGAATCTAAATACCTTAATTATAGGTGGGAGAAATATTTACGGCTGCTGGTCAAGCTTTTAATAGATTGGGAGATTTGACCATGCAATTGCATCCAAACGCTGAAAGCCCTACAGGGTAAGTTTTAACACTGTAAATTTACCTTCTTTGCAATCTATAGTACACAAAGTATTATAACTTAATATTGATTTTGCCATTGTTATCTTTTCGTCAAGTGTTAATAAATAAATGTATGCAATAAGGCTAGATACCGTATTTGTGTCAAATAGTTTTGCTGGAGTACTTTATCAAATAAGTTAAGCAACAAACCACCCTGTTAAAAATTAAAATGTTATAGAAAGTGGACTGACGAAGAAATTGAGATGCTAAGACAAGTCGTAAAACAATTTTCTGACGGTTTGAATCAAATAAGCGAGCACATAAAACGCCGTACTGTGTGAGTTACAATCCCAATTTCTTCTGAAACCAAAATATACTAACTTTAATATTTTATTATAACCAGATCTCAAATTCGGACAGCCCTGAAGAAAAAAGCGTTTGAAGATGCTGGTTTGCCTGTAAGGCAAATAAATACAGTGCAACAACAAGCACAAACGCAAAATATACAAAGTCAGCAGATAATAAAACAAGAGGTAACTTTGAATATGTTAAATGCTGCAGAATCGGAGGTTGATGTTGAGGGGCTTCATGAGGATGTTAAATTGGAATTTGATGGTGAAAATGAAGAGGTTTCTTCATAAGTTAAGTGTGTTTGTGTTATGTATAGATTAATAAAGTCATAATTTTATAGAATTAATTCTTTATTGATGGTAAAACTCTCCAACTAAAAATATATTTTGTTATGAGGATTTAAAACATAATAATTTCCTTCCCCAACTTATTCTTTCACTTTCATAAATTTTAGTCATGTGGCAATGATTTAGTAAATATTTTTCTATAACTTCCTCTACAGTTTGCCTTATTTTGAGATCCTTAAAGAAAGAAAATTCTTCCTTGCTGCTTTTCAATCTTTTTACAGCTTCTTTGTAACATTTATAGGGTTGAGGTTCTATGACTAAAATCTTTGATAATTTTGATAAATTCCATAGGAATTTTTTCAAACCATCATCCCCATAATTAAGGTGAATCCACATTGTTACAGAGAAACAGAAAGTTGTTGTAAATTGATCTATTGAATGTTTATCTAAAAAATCTTTTAAATCTGATGATTCCTCCATGATATTCATGGTTTTAAATTGTATATTATTACACTCGTAACTTTCTTTTGCCCTTTTGATTAATTCTGGATCAATATCAATACCCAGGATGTCTGTGTTTGTTGATAAGGATTCGTTAAAAACATCATAAATTGATTTGGTCAAATTCTAAAATATTAATTAACTAATTAATAAACTAATAAAAAATAAAATAAACCTTTATACCTACTCCAGCATTACACCCTACATCCAACAATACTTGTTTACAATTTTTTTCACTATACCATAGGTCCAATGGTAAGTGTTCTGTTCTTTGCTCTGGCGGATGAAATTTATAGTAATTTATAAAATTACCAAATTTTACTGAACCAGGGTTTTCGTTTTTAAATTGCAGATCGTCCGGATTTTCGCTGTTTTTCATTTTATTGTGTTCATTGGCAACAACTTGTCAACATGCATAAAGTGAGGTTAGATTTTACGTCAAATTTTACAGGTTTCTGTTTGTGGAGATGTTAGTTTTGTTTTTTAATAATAGGTGGCGCTATTGTTAAGATTTAACATAATATGTATATTATACTTACATAATATGTATATTATACTTACCACAGTAGTGGTAAGTATATGAGATTTAAGTTTCTCCAGCGACTATAATACAATAATAATAATTGTTTATAAATATAAAAAAATACCAGTACCAGTTGCAAGTGTAGTTGTCAATTCGCGTTTATTTATTTACCTAATTAAACTAATTCAATTATAAAATTTGTGTATTGCGTTAGGTCAAGTACAACTGGACTAGGTGACTAACAACAAGGTCTCCCTGCTAAAAGAGGTCGGGGACGCATAAGATCTATAGCAAATAATGTAAATATTTATTATTAAATTTAACTAGAGTTTGTAGCACTTAACCACATCTAGTTTTTAAAGATATAAATAATCCCTAGAATGTTAATTATATATTTTTTTTTAAACAACAAACCACAAATTTATTTTAATTTTAAATTAACTACACCTTTTAAAAAACATTTTTAGTGAATCATGCATGTTAAGACCTTTGCAAAAGGAAGATAAAAACAAGTTTAAACACGTCATTGAAACTTGTTTAGGGTTCTATGACGCATCAAGCAACATTCTTAAAATAAAATTTAATGAGAATTTACAGACCCAGCACAAAAAATATTATATTCCCTACAAAAAAAAACGAAATAATTTTTATTATTTTTATAATTTTTTGCGCTTTAATTTATAGCAACATTTTTATTTGTTATTTTTTAAATTTTATATGGTAAATATCCAAATTGATTAAAATACAAAAATGGGGTGATTCATAATGAATCATCGACCAAAACGGGCATTTTATATTTTTGTTATTTATTCCAAAACATTCCTTAACAAAACAACATTGTGATAGTAGGTAGAAGGTACCTAAATTATTAACCCAATAAAAAATCCAACACATGCCCAATATTGAAACTGAAAACAATTTAAAATCAAAACAAACAACTCTACCCTAAAATAAACAACATTAAATAGGAAATATTTTACCTGAATTATTACTAGAAAATATTGATCAATGTTTTCAAAATATTTTAATTTTTTAGATCGTTTTATTATTTTTATTTGCCTAATTACTAAATTTTAATTAAAAAAAAAGTATTTATACAGGGTGTTTACGGTCTAGGGGTCGAAAATTGAACCGGTGGTGTAAGGTAATAAAGTAATGGTAGATTTGTTGGAATTTTGAAAAAAAAATCAATTATAAAAAAGTTATTAAAATTTAAATTTATTCAAAGTTTTGATACAACTTTTGAGGGTCATTGGTTTGATACGGGTGGAGACTTAAATAAAAAAACTGACAACAAAACGTTTCTTAAACAATAAAGAATAATGTCATGGATTTGAATACTTCAAAAAAAACTTTCTAATTCCGTCAAAAAACTGAATTAATTTTGCAATGGCTCATGTTTATTCTAATAACGAATTAGTGGATATGATAATGGTGTACGGGGAAGCACAAGGTAATGCTGAAGAAGCAAGTCGAATTTACGCTAATAAATTCCCAAATCGCTTTCACCCCGCGCCTCGGAGATTTTTTAACGTAACGCAGCGAGCCCGCGATACCGGGGAGCTCCAACCCCATTATGGTCGTGATGGGGGCCCTGATAGGTTGCAAAGAATTTTGAACGCAGAGGAACAAGTACTGCAACTGGTAGCAGAGGACCCATCACGAAGCACTAGGAGCATTGGTCGTCAGTTACGAGTATCAAATAGGGTAGTTTGGCGCACCCTCAATGAAGACCTGCAGCACCCTTATCACTTTCAAAGAGTGCAGGCTTTAAATCCTGACGACCCCGAAAGGAGAATCGAGTTCTGCCAGTGGATTCTCCAACAAAATGAGGCTAATCCTAATTTTGTTGACGAAATTTTGTTCACTGACGAATGTACATTTACCAGAAATGGTATTTTTAATTTTCATAATTACCACCAATGGTCCGCAGAGAACCCTCATGCCATCAGACGTACCAATTTTCAGCAAAGATTTTCCATTAATTTTTGGGGTGGAATAGTAAATGGATGCCTGCTAGGCCTCTATGAACTCCCACAAAGAATGAACGGCCTCGAATACCTGAATTTCCTCCAACATGGCTTAGAACCGCTTGTGGATGACGTCGTACCTCTGGCAATCCGGCAAAGAATGTTTTTCATGCATGACGGTGCTCCATGTCACTACCTCGAAGCAGTCCGTGCGTTTTTGGATCACGAGTTTCCGTATCGTTGGATTGGGCGTGGGGGACCAATTGCTTGGCCACCAAGAAGCCCTGATTTAAATCCGATGGATTTTTATGTATGGGGCTTTCTAAAAAACTTAATCTATCGGCCAGGATTGCCAGAGGTGCAAGACGTCAATGAGCTTCGTCAAAGGGTCCACGAGGCTACAGAACAGTTACGAGAAGGTGGTGCTATGAGGCAAGCTTGCCAATCGCTGTTGAGACGCGCACGACTGTGCTTAAACTGCAACGGAGGAAACTTCGAACATTTGCTTTAATAATGTAGTTCCAAAATAAAAAGCTTGAATTAAAGAGTGTTTTATTATTTATTAATGCGATTTTACTTTTTCAATTTTCAATCGTAAACACCCTGTATAACAGATTTTTTGGCAATTACATAACAACATCTGCGTTCAAAATTCTTTGCAACCTATCAGGGCCCCCACACTGAGAAAAATGTATGTAATTTTACACAAGTTTCACACTAACTGAAGTTGTAAAAAATTACAAATTTTTGGTAAAAGTACATATTTTTGTGTTTTTAAGAAGATATATGTGTGAAATTAGATAAAAAATGTAAATTTACATATTCTTATAAAAGTACATAACATATAATGTGAATTTTATAAAATTTTAAAAGTATTATGTAAAATTTACATTAAAAAGTAAATTCTACATAAAAATATTAAATATTACATATTATAGGTAACCTTTACACATTTCATGTAAATATCAACCAATAGGATTTGAGCATTAAGTCACGCGATGCGGCACACCCGTATGAAAACGAAACGAACATTTTGTTGGCCGAGTTAGGACGCGTCCTGTAGTGTTTATAGTTGTTTTTCGTATTATTTGGTAAGTATATTAATTATAAATAAGGAGCATAAAAAAAGAAACTAGGATGCCATCAATAAAATGAGATTTTCCCATTATTAATTGATATATTTTACTTAATTTTATTTAAAGAATTGCCTATTCATAAGTTATACTATTTTATTTAAATAAGTTCCAATATTAGTATATTAAACATCTATCCGGTAAAAACAATATATTTGGTGCTTTGATGTCAAGTGGTAAAAATGCACGTGTTTACAAATTAATATCTAGTTTAAGCAATAATTTTAGTTTAAAGAAATATTTTATTATAGGCTAATTTTACATTTTTTTCAGATCCAATTATTTTTTATTGAATAAATATTAGTTATTAGAACAAATAATAATAGGTTAGATTTTAGATATTATATTATTAAAATAAATCCTAATTTCTATTATTTTTTATATATATTTATATGTATTTGTTATATATATTTGTTATATATATATATATATATATATGTATTTAAAAAATGTTTATTTATTATTGTTTTAAATATACAATTATTTTTAACTAACAATTTTATTTTATTTGGAAATAGATGTCCCTTCATTCTACCAATTTAAAAGTTATCTTTTAAAGTGTAGTATTTAAACTTAAAAAATTGCCTAAACCGTATAATAATCATACTATTTTTAACTTATTTATATTATTTAAAAATTAACAAAAAAATGCGTAATTCTCTTAATAAAAAAAATAAAAATGTACTACTCTTAAAAAGTTTGCTTCTAAATTAAAATTGTCTATTTTTTGTGTATATATACAGTTTTTTTTTTTAAATACCTGTATATAGGTATTTTCAAAAAATTAAAACTGCAATATTACAAAATTTTGGGTTTATTTAACTTCTGCAATTAAATAAATTAAATATTTTGTACTAAAACTCTAATACTGAAACTGCAGTTTTAGTAGATATTAGAGTTTTAGCACAAATTATTGAATTTATTTAATTGCAAAAAATAAACCCAATATTTTGTAGTATGATTCTATAGAATACAATTACATAATTTAAAAAAATTACATATTACATGCATGTAAGTAAAATACATTATATATGTATTAAATTTACACAAACGTGTAAATATAAATTACATCTGTCATGTACATTTTAAACAAGTATGAATTATTTACAAATTTTGTGTAAACATAAATCACATATTTTATGTAAAAAAACATAGATATGTTTAAGTTACACAATCTATGTAATTTCACATCAGTTTACGAAGCTAACAAATAACCAACGACCAGTTATGTGAAAATTTTTCTCTGCACAGAGAAAAATTTTCACATAACTGGTCGTTGGTTATTTGTTAGCTTCGTAAACTGATGTGAAATTACATAGATTGTGTAACTTAAACATATCTATGTTTTTTTACATAAAATATGTGATTTATGTTTACACAAAATTTGTAAATAATTCATAATTGTTTAAAATGTACATGACAGATGTAATTTATATTTACACGTTTGTGTAAATTTTATACATATATAATGTATTTTACTTACATGCATGTAATATGTAATTTTTTCAAAATTGTGTAATTGTATTCTATAGAATCATACTACAAAATATTGGGTTTATTTAACTTTTGCAATTAAATAAATTCAATATTGTGTGCTAAAACTCTAATACTAAAACTGCATGCAGTTTCAGTATTAGAGTTTTAGTACAAAATATTGAATTTATTTAATTGCAGAAGTTAAATAAACCCAAAATTTTGTAATATTGCAGTTTTAATTTTTTGAAAATACCTATATACAGGTATTTAAAAAAAACTGTATACACAAAAAATAGACAATTTTAATTTAGAAGCAACT